CATGCATATATGAGTTTAATCCTCACGTAGAACGGTAGATATGACTACGATAGCCCTATGTTGGGGAGATTAAAGCCACAATACTAGAGTGGCCAGATAAAATTTCAGAAGATATATACAAAGCAAGGTTTCATTATCAACTCCTGTACCCTGAACTTAGAAAAGATCAGGAAAGTCACAATTTAAGCGGTTTTATACAAAAAGATGGGGAGCTGACTGAAACATCATTTTACGACCTTTAATGGCTTACATAGAGTTTCGCCTTAGAATTCGTAGCAGCATCGTCAGGTGGGGTGGAGGGAGGTGTGTATTCTCACTTATCCCCAGGATAGACTACTTGTCATTGCAGTACTGCCGATACGATAATTTACCCACTCTAAATCCTTATAGTTGGTATACTTTAGATAGTTTATTAACACTACGCTGTTTAGGCTGGAATTCCACCTATTTCGATCCCCTGAATATTGCAGTACAGGGGTTTTCTTTGGGGTCTGGTAAATCATCAGTGCAACGAGCCATCAGAATTTGCTGTTGTTATTTGATGATGGATCCCTAACGGACTTCAACCTGTCAGATGTATAAAATTCTTGTTCAAGGAATCATACCTGTTTCTTCTCAAAAATGGAAGTATTCGCACCCTCTTGGTTTTGTAATTATAAATTTTTACCCTAGCAACTGGCATCCGTGCCAATAGGTTGCATGAAGCGGACACCACCTACATATCTAAGTCGCTATAAATTTAGGTTTCAAGTAAAAACAATATTACTGAGACATCTCCATAACCGTCAGCTAAATGACTGCTGACGATCTTCGCCAAATCCACTTTCCTGTTAGTTAACCCCTTCCCTAGAATTTCCATACTGTCAGTAACTTAACGTTTACGTTGAAGAGCTGGACACTGTCGACGAGAAGATACAGAGCAGGTATGCCAGTTATTCGAAATTATAATGTTAGGTCTCGATTAAAAGCAATTACTTATATAAGGTCTTAATAATAATCATTCTGCCTCGTGATGCCCAAAAATCTCATTCGCGTCACGACGCAGTATTTTAAATGAGCTTCTTTTAGCTGCCGCCAAAAAGTGCACTCTATAAAATACGGTTACTTGGCTAATATTAACTTTCTAATTAACTTTCGATGGCCTTATACATTTTGGTATATTTTATAAAAAAATAATAAACGTATTCCATCTCGTGTTCAGGTAACATATGACATCTTTATCCACGTTTTTACTTGAACAGTGGATTGTTTTTTTTAAACGTTTCTAATTATGACATTAACTACGACTGTGATGTGTCTATTTGTAGAGCATCATATCCGTGCCTTTTTAGTGCCGTTGGACCGTAGATCTCATGGCTCACGGTTATTGAATAATGTCATGAGGTCTGTATAAAGTCTGCTCATTAGCTTATAAAAATGTTTAATTTTATTTCCGCGGAAAAAATACTGCTTGAAGTTTTGGAAAGCCTGTATGCAGATGTAGCAGCAGGTCAGGTTCACATTAATTAGAGAATAGAAAATAATATTTCATTCATATGTCTAAAATTCAAAAATTAAATGTAAGTAAAATTAAATTAAAAAGTCCAGTGAAATATATTCTGAATTTAAATAAAATGATAAAAGAAGAAGAAAACGCATCTTTCTAACGAATTAATACAAAATTATGCACATTGCAGGTATTTCTGCATAAATAGTATTTGCCTTTATAAAAGCCTAGAAAATAAATGGGAAAAAATTCATACTAGGCGATTAGAAAGCATTCACAGGATGTGTTTTTTGCAGGCGGCCCGAATTAAGCTCGCCTTCTAGCCAACATCCTGACCTGACGGAAATATTTTAGGATTATCCTCCCAGATACTTAATATTACAACCCTACTAGAATAGCGTTTTTTCCAATCTAAAGCACAGCCTAGAATTTTGCCTAACATTTCGTGACATAGCCCTTCTACTGTACGATTTAGTATGCAACGCTGGGGACAACATAAAAAATGTCAGCTTTGTACAGGAAGCTCTCGGTAGCCCAGACGCAGGGTAATTCTCACAACAGTCTTATATATCCACACTGGTCACGCCATCTAACCGTCAAAATGGGTTCGCCCAAATTCCCCCCTGTGTCGAATATCCTAAATGTTTACAGGTTTTTATAGATTATTAGTGGGAATTAACGTTTCCCACTAGTTGTTTACGTCGCATAGACAACTCCTACTTGCCCTTTAGGAGGCACGAATAGGGTGGCTTCGAGGGCGTGTTTGCGTTTTCCAGTGAGGAGTGTTAAAATTTTTCAAACAAAACAAATAACTTCCTCAGCCAGTTTGTAGGCACACGCAAGTCCAGCTCGGTGCCATGAAGTGTAAATGGCACTCTGTCTTCGAACAACTTCTCTTCACATTCATTGTCCTTGGAGGTCGTACCAGAGCTTACAGCGGCAAAACCGCCCCAGCTTATCCGCAAAATAAAGTAAACATGTTTATCCTCAATTTCGAAAGTAGTTGTTCCGTTGAATATCCTCTGTTTGACTACAAATCCACCATTGGCTCTGCTGTCTACAATCTACGGAACATAACCCTGGAAGATGAGCCCTTTATTAATGTAGGGCTTCACTTAGTCCCAGTTCCTGGCTGTAATTTGAAACAGGATCATCATGCCACACAGCTGATGACTCTCCTCTATGATCTTGGATATCTTGTGTCCAGTGCCGCATTTGAAGGCTTTTCAATCATAATTGGTCCCCAGTCCGGCAGCGACTGTGATCTTGTCATGGACTGGATACGCGTATCGGGTATCGCGGCCGTCACGAGCGATCGGATCTTCCAGATCAACTTTGCCTGTCGCATGTTCGTTTTCCAGATGGAATTCATTGTGCCAAATGCAGTCTGTAAGCAATAGGACGTCTTACTACCCTCCCAGATGCCCTCGTTCATGTTGGCTTCTATCGCCTTACCCACCGAGCTGACTTCCATCGTTCACGCGCTCGGCACCTTTCTGAAAGCAACGGGACGGAGCCGAGTAAGCACCTTTTTTGAAGTCAGTCTAAAACAGAACTCAAACGCCGACGTGGCGTTGAAGTTGGCTAAAACATTGAGTATCGAAGTCAATGGATTACAGATAATAGCAGAGCACAGGATCAGGGAGAACTCCGACTTTGTCGAACTTTTGGGAAGGGGGACCAACGAACCAGATGGTTAAATTTATTTATATTACTTTGCTCTTAGTGTTTTTGCTAGGATAGGAAAACGTTGGGAAAAAGAGTGGAGATTTAAGTTCGGGTAGGCCATATTAGACGGGAAAATCAAATAAATAGGCTTCCAAAATTAAATCCTTCAGTAGCGATTCATTTTCTGCATGATACTTCTGATGGTACAGATTCAGTCTGGGGACTGCTATTATACCTTAACCGGAAAATGGAAACAGTCATCGGAGTTTGTTGCGAATAGCTGTCGAAAAACATTTTTTTCCTTTTGCTGGTATTTTAGAAATTCAGAAATTATGGCATATATTTCCCAGTTCTGTAAAATGTGTACCTAATAAGAATACTTAAGGCACGAATTAGGAAGGCAAACAAAACCAGTAAACACCTTTATGAAGTGTTTATCGAGAAGTACATGGGAGAGTGAAGTGACCATCTCTGTCTTACCGTCTTTAAACGGTCGATACCTAAATCCAGGTTGACAAAAACTGGTATGCAGTCCAAGTAAAATTGGCCAGCACGAAATGAAGTCAACCGTTCTACCCGTGACATCCGCATCTCACCGACAGCAATTGATAAACACTTGCTCGTCAAGCTTCAGACCAAGAAGGTGGAGACGCCTTGAATCGTGCAAGCTTTTTTATCTCACGATTCGTACTTACTCATATCCATCATCGACAACAGAATCAGATAAGTATACTGGCTTGCAATAATTGTGTGGTCTTCATTAGCTACAATGGCACGGATTATACACAGAAGTGGCAATCAAAATTCGAAAATTTTTTTCTACTTCGAGCAAATTACTTAAGTAGGACTCCATTGATGATTCTTGTGCCACCTAATCTCAAGAAATGTGAGTCACATCATGATGCCGGCTTCTGAGCGGACCTCTTGCTGACCACCTACAGTTGTGCCTCAATGATTTGTAGTGTTCCGCCTTCTTGACTCTTCCGACTATATCCAGCAGCCACGCGTACATCAAAACCGATGATAACAACTATCAAGGCAGTATGGCACTATTAAGCAAAACAGTAAAGGATCAATAGTGTACAAACCTCATCAATGAACACACCAAGACAAGAGCGAAGGGAGTCGGCGAAATCGCTTGATTCTATACAAGGGAACCACACAACCTCAACAATAACGCCACGCAGGACGAAACTAGTGTTGGGAAAACTTGTGTGTGTTAGTGGGAGATGGGGGTAGCTCCACTTTAATATGATTGTACGAGGCAATTCATGTAGCATTAGGATTGGTGTGAAACACCAGCGCGAAACCTTCTCCAGACACACCTCTCCTTCGAACCTGCAGTATTCGGGTTGGCCGTGAATACGGAAAAAAATACATGCAAACACTGAGTATCTTTATTCAACTAAACATTTACCAAAATCCACAGTTCATAAAACATTAGTAGCCTACTGAAACGAGGAAGTTTGTTTGGAGGAAGCATCTATGTCGCATTTATTAATATCTTGCATGTTAGTCAGTTACTTCGGCAGGGCTTTCCTTGGCAGCCCGTGAAAGTCATATTTATATTAACATGCCCACTCAATGGATTCTAATAGATATAGTTTTTTGCTCGGAGGTTTTCGAGTTGACTCAATGCTGTACAGCTTCTCATTTAAAACCTGTCTGGCTTGGCAAGGCGGCTAGAAAATCCTCGCCTACCTTTCCATTAGCAGTTGATGAAGGGATACATACACATGTCAACCGGTCAAAATCCTCGCCTATAATTTTTCATTTACGAAAGGCGCCCGTTGCAGGAGGGATACATACACATGACTTAGCTCAGGGAGTTAGAGGTGATAAACGGGTTGCTTCAATTTAGCTACCGGTTAACATCCTCGCCTATCATTTTCATTTACGAAGGCGTCCTTTGCTTAGGCCATTGTTTAATACCAGTGTTACGTTAGAACTGACATTACTATAGCCGCTCACTTCATCCACTACGTCA